CCAAGAATGCCAGAGAATTTTTAGAAGCTTGGCATTCCAGTGAATCATCAATCAATAGACACATCGAGATCGACAAAATATATCAATCGATAAGAAAGAGACCTCACACACTAAAGGTTAAAGTTCAAGTCAAAGAAACAATCAGTTCCAATACTTCAAGTAACCTAGAAGGTATGAAAACACAAAAACAACTACTCACGCCCAGGGTCACCAGGAGAGATGATTAATAAACTCGTGGAGAAATCTAAAAGCTCACTTCAAATTGAAGTATGCGCTGAAGATGTCACCTAGTAGGGTGATGAAAGCTTCGCAAATTAACTATCCAGCTCAGAGAACACAACCACATCAAAGTCTATCACCTTCCTCATCAAATGATGTAAGCAGGTAGATTTTGGTGTGGTCAAACAAAACCGTGGCATCAATAAATGCAGTTTCCGGTTTGAGCCAAATAAAGAGGCGTAGACTATCTGGCTGAGGTCTTTAAGGCTCTAACAACCAATGGTTTCAGACCTTTAAATAAACATGGCTCAAAATTACCTTCAATGGTGCAATAATGCAATCACACTTTGTGCTATCTCGTGTTCGTTAAATCTTTATTATTTTCCACTTATTTATTTCTTCTCTTGTACATTACCGCTTATTATAACTTCTTTGCATTTCCCATTTTTTATGAAACATTGCAACTTGAACTATTACACTTCTTTGTAGAGTTCTATGTTGAAGTTCAGTTGAGTACAGTTCATTGTTTACCCGCCGAGAATACAATCCAGTTGACCCCCCCCCCCCCCCATACGGTAGGTAAGGTGTGGTTGAAGTACAACACACTATGAATAAGGTATGCTACTTGCTCATACTATGACTGTTTGTACAGAACATATTTATCAGAAGACATTATCACCCATCTCATGAACATCCATTACTATATATTCGATGTCATTCATAATTATTTACTTTGAAATATTGGTGGTCGATTTAGTGTTACATTTATACATATTAACCCCCCCCCACCCATACACACACACATGTTTTGGGCTATAATCTATTAACACGCGAGTTGTAAATAACTTTTGGAATTCTATTATCAATGATTCGATGTTATTTTTTTATTGAAAAAAGCCATTAATGTTGTTAATAATAAGATGCAACAAACCTAATGAAAAAGACTTTATCATAGAAAGAATATGCTTTGTTCAGTAAGCAATAATTTGAAATTTCTAATGGACATTTTTAATCAAAGAAAAATAAGTCAGACATCTTATGATAATTAACTATAATCTATCTTTATTTGTTTTTTGTTTGTTTTTTTTACACAAAACATCAAGAATTCCATAGGAAAACTCAAAAAAAAAATACGCAGAAGATTTATTACAAAAACAGAATGTGGTTTTCGTTAGACACAAAAATAAGTCACTAGGGAGATTTCGGAGTTTATATATATAGAGAGAGATATATGTTGTTTTGTCCGCTTAAAATTTAAGAACGCAGACTTATGGAGTAAATATTGGAACAAACTATTACAAAATGTGAAGAGATTTAGGTTACCGCAAAATTAAACTAGCAACCTATATATGCATTACTCGCTTCACTTATACAGTTAGAAGAAAATCTGCTTTGAATACAACGTAGTTATAAGCTGACCAAGAGATCAGAGCAAAATCTCAGTGAACATCTATCTACTAAGAATTAGTAGGATAATGCGCATCCGAAATGAACATGTAGAGGGAATTTAGTAATGTTTTTATCAGGAGAGAGTTGATGCCTTATCTAATCCCCCTCAAAAATATCCAATATATATGTACATGAAAGTTACAGGCGTCAGCAATACTCCATAGATCTGGCAGACATACTGAACAGGAATGAATAATGAGATAAAAAGAAAAATATCCACAGCTTTATGTAGAAAATATAAAATTAACAATAACTAGTCATGCTAATAGGGGAGTTAGAAAGAAACTGAAGATGTATTCACACTTACCAGACAAACTTTATCCAAGGTCAACTTTACCTACAGCCAAAATATATAGTGAGATTGTCATCAATCAATTTGTTAGAACATAAACATAGCAAGTGTCTATGCTAGATGGTGAATCATATCATATCTGGAGAGTGGAAGCGATCGATATTACTTAAAAGACTGTAATCTTAGTAGGCAAGATAAATTTACCATCCGAAATAAAGTAATCAAGTGGAAACAATCACAACTCAAAGATAAACATAAAAAATCAATTGGATTTTGGGATGCTTCTATATTCATCATGATATATTTTGCCACCGAACAGACTACGAATAACTTCATTAGTTTAAGCTGAAGCCAGGTAAATCATCTGAACCTGACGGACTTCACCCTAGACTGATAATCTCCTTGGCGGATATAATATACATTCCACTTACGGAGATTTCTCAATGTCTCTGACCCATGCTAGGCTACCCAGGGACTGAAAAGATGCTTTTATAAGCCCCATCTTCAAAGAGGAGAACAGGCAGTTAGTATCTAACTACGGGCCTGTAAGTCTGTCCTGCATTATAGCAAAGGTGTTAGAAACACTTGTAAGGGATCAGATCTTAGCTCATATGGAAAAACACGGCTTACTGGCAGTGGAACAGCATGGATTCCGACCAGGACGATCCTGCTTGACTAACTTACTGTTAGCTAGGGAAGATTGGGTCGAAGCCAGGGATAAAAACCATCTACTGGACGTTGTCTTTATCTATAAGGTATCCCATTTAGGTCTTCTTAGTAAACTCAAACGTTTTGGATTAGCCCAACGCCTGTGTGAGTGGTTTAGCGACTACCTGATGGATAGAAGGCAGAAGGTAAGGGTTAATGGTGTACTGTCAGGGTGGAGTACTTCAGGGGACTGTACTTGGCCCCCTGCTATTCCTATTATACGTAAATGAAGTGCCGAAAATTCTTACCTCATCTTCCTTACTATCTGCGGACGATATTAAGATATGGAAAACCGTAAATAGTAACGATGATAGGTTGGTACTACAAAACGATCTAGATAAGTTAGCCGAATGCGCTAACCTTTGGAGTCTGGAAGTTAATTCCAAGAAAAGATATTATCAGAGGTCTTACACACCGTACCCCCTGGGGGGCACAGAACTTCCAGATGTTAGGGGACAAAAGGACTTAGGAATTATTGTTGGCCATGACTTAAAAACAACGGCAAACTATAATCGAGCCGCAGCTAAGGCTTTTCGAATGCTATGGGCACTTCGAAGGGCTATCAAACGATTAGACGAGGGTAAGTTCCGAGTACTCCATGCAACATTTGACAGATCTCATGTAGAATACTGCATACAAGCGGTGAAACCATGCTTCAAAAAGGAGACACATATCCTGGAAAGAGTACAAAGGGTGGCTACCAAATTAGCTAGTGATATCTCACAAATTCCTCATGATAAGAGGATGCATCATTTAAATCGCTTCTCATTATCATACCGAAGGACGAGAGGCGACTTCATTTTGGCATACCTTATATTCAAGGGTGATTTAGGGATTGACCTTAACTTTTTCCTCTAAGATACATTTACGAGTCACCACAAGAAGGTTCTCAATCCGAGGTCTAATAAATACGAGTGGAATTTAGATTTTGTTATAGAGTGTCAACGACTGGAACTCCTTACCTGATTCAGTAGTAAAAGCTCCATCGGCGAACGTTTTCAAAGAAAAACTGAATCTCTGCAGAGATATATATCGCGAGGATTAATATAGGCAACAAGGACCTTCTATCCTTATAATCCGAATCTGAGTCTTCAGTTTGCTCTTTCCCTCTAAATCTCTATTTCCTCTACAATATAATTTTGTTTCTATCCACTGTGTATTTCATTTTCTGAGATTTTGTGGAATTTGGTGTCTGAAGCCAATGAGCCTTCTACAAGCTCCCACACTGTTCTAATTATCACTTTTAAAAATGTTCAGTTTACTTCAACGTTTGTACGCACGTATGGGATTAGTGGAAGTGAATTGACAGTAATCAACTTCAGTCGTTTTAGTACGAATCATATCTAATTTGTCGACTACAATTAGGGATTTAGGAACTAACCTTTGAAATAATTGATCATACACTGTACAAAACTAAACATTACTTCAAACACTATAAGAATTTAATTAGTTCTCTTAATGCAATAACATAAATGTTGTATTGGTAACATGATTCACTGAAAAAAAATATTGTAAATTAACGTGTTATAAACAAAAGAACAAGGCTAGGGGATTAGCTAGCGGTGGTCAAACGAAAACATGGCACCAGTCAATGAAATCTACAACAGTTAGTCTAAGCCACGTAGGAAGATGTAGACTTCCTGGTTGGGGTACTCGGGACGGTAAAAACCAATGGTTGGAAACAATTGGTGACATGGCTCAAACTCATCGTTCTCAATGGCGCAGATGCATCGACTCCTTGTGACTTATGATTTCAAATGAAACTATATCGTTCTTCGTTATTACTATTCCTTTGTCTCACGCCTCTGTTTACTGTCTCTATTATGAATTTCTCCTACTTTCTTCTGTTGCTTTGTGTGCTACAAGTAGGGAGTGTGGGGACTTGAACTGCCGCACATATGTGCAAAGTTCTTTGTCGAAAACAGACAGACAGACAGATAAGCCGAATTTTCTTAACAAGAAATAGGTTTTGCCCAAAATTTTCAAATAACAAGCTATACATAAGATAGGCTTCTAGAAGTATTTGATGTTTACCCATGAGAACCTAACTACACATTATATCGATAAATTGAGTATTATCGCTTACCATACGACAGTATCACCCAAAACATTACCTCAAAGAGAGGAACATAAGGAAACACTGCAGTGCGTGAACTCTTACGCTCACAATAGTTATTTTGCTAAAACCCGGAAAGCAATCATTATGGACTGCAACTGACAACAAAGTCAGGTGTATCCCTGGTTTAATTTGGAGATTTACTAATTATATATCGAAAATTTAACCAGAGAACAATTCCTGGTTGTCAGCTTGCTGAAGGAGAACAGAATTTACCTGTCGACTGCGTCTTGTAGCGACTTGAACCAAACAGCGCGGCTATCCGACAACCAATATCTTTGTTGCGAGCCGGTGATTACGAATTTTCTCCTTTGTTCTGACTTTCCAGTAAACACTCAAGATATCGAAATGCACTTAGGTAGATATAGAAAAACTGTTATTGTTTCTGAGTAAGTGAATTTTCAGAAGTAAGTAAATCTAAACACATTCTCCTTTAATTCAACTTTGCCTTGTTCAATATCCAATATCGTTTTTACGAGCTAGTAAAAACCAGTTCGATTTCTTTGTGCTCGCTTCTTGATTTTGAGGCAAAGGTTAGTGGTCTTCGTCCCACCACTCTACTGTCGTAGCTTTGGTTGACTCCAAAAGGAGTAGTGCTGGGATTAATCAGATGTAGTATGTGGTGTGTTGAAATTTGTTGCTACTGTGAATGGAGTTGACCCTTTCGCCAGTTAGTGTTCCGGTATCGTCACCAAAAGAAAAGAGATAACAATAATAATATATATAATAAGCGTAGGTTATCCAGATTAAAAGACGGAAAAAGAAATAAAGAAAGAGTAAAAACAGACATGCAACTCAATTTAAAGTTTAAATATATACATATATATACATATTTATGTATATGTTTATAATATCGGTAATAATAATGTATAAGTGTAGTAGTTGGAGTAGTCAGAAGAGTAAGACGGTTGAGAATGTGAAGAAGTAAAACGACGAATTTAGTTGTTTAACCATGAATGGTGTATGGGATTTTAAGGGGATAGGACATTTAGACTCAGCCTTTGTATCGCTGCATTATTGTCCAGCCTTCCCTAAAAGGTGTCCACAGACAATGCCATTGCCACATCTGCCGGTAATGAGTCCCAGGGACGGTGGACCTGCGGTGAAAAGAAGTCGGAGTGCACCCGGAGTCCCATACCTACTCAATGGCAGAACACCTTTGTTTGGGTGATTCTGGTCATTTGTTATTTTGTAGGCAGTAATCGAATCCCCCCTAAGATGACGGTAGCTAAGTGCGAATAGGCCTAATTTACTTAACCGTTCATCATGTGGTTTATTTCGGAGACCAACCACTCCTTTTGTTGCCCGTCGTTGGACTCTTTCCAAGAGGTTGGCGTCTCTTCCAAGCAATGGGGATGCAATGATATTATGCACTTTAAGGTGTGGTCTGACGCATGTTTTGTGCAACCTTAGAAAGAGCTCAGAAGTGAGTGCACCTAGTTGTCTATGTGTAAAGTGTCTGACCGCATATGCCCTCGCTACGTCCCCCGTGTAATTTGCGCTTGTGTCCATTTTTTCCGTTAGAACTAAACCCAAGTCACGCTCCGACGTTGTGCAGGACAGGCTTTCGTTGCACGGGGTGTAACTTGCATTCTGCAGCCTACAGGTACGCAATTTCACCACTGCACTTTTTCAGGTTGAAAGTTGTATCACTGGCTACCGCCCAGTCTTCTATAAGCTTTAGATCTTCCTGCAGCCTATCTGGGTCTTACGAACACTTTGTTGGTCTCCATATCTTTACGTCGTCAGCATATAGAAGAGTCGGGCAGCTTAGACGGCATGTTAGGTCATTGATAAAAATCAAAACATCACTGGTCCTAGGATAGAACAGTGCGACACTCCTGGTGATGAGCCGTGTCAAGATGATCGGACTAGATTGACCTTAGTGCAGAATTTCCTTTCGGCTAGGTAGTCCTCCAACCGTGACAGAAGCGGCTCACCTACACAAGCCTGACTTATTTTGTGTAGGAGAAGGCCATGATGAACTGTGTCAAATGCCTTCTGAAAGTCTAGGGTGACAACATGGACTAGGACATTCGTATCCCAGCATGATGTCCAATTGTCCCAAGGTTTGTTACATAGGATCCGTCTTAGCTGAAACCGTGTTAGGCTTCATGGAGTCAATAAGTCCTATGGAGGAACTCTCTGATGTGATCATCGATAATAGTTTCCAGTACTTTTGATACCAGTAGTAGTAGGGCTACTGGTCTATGACTGGTGACATTTCGCCTGTCGCCATACTTGACGATCGGAGAAAGCTTGGTTCTTTTCCACTCTCTTGACGGTTATTCGAATCCATCGAGTACTGGAAAAAGTTGCATAAGGACCTGCAAAGAGCTTGGGCGCTCTATTTCAGAACAGATGAAATCATGTCTTCACAACCTGGGGACTTTCGGGGTGTGAGTCTCTGTAGCTTCCCTAGTACTATTGCCGGGTTTATTTGGGGAGTAGCCACTAGTTTTTCCTCCGGTGAAATAGTAGTGTCGCCATTTTGGTCCGTATCGGTAATACCCATATTGCCGTTTAACTGTTTGGCGAGGGCCAAATTGAGTGTTTCAACCATATCCAGACTAGTGAGGTATTGATCGCTGATCGCTATCAACTAACTTTAAATCTGGTTTTTCCCTACTGGGCTAGATTGTATTCGTAGAAAGCCGGCTTTGTTTTATGTTCATTCAATTTGTTGGCTAATAGTCGTCATCCAGTTTCTTTCGTTTTTTCCTCAGGAACACTAGTTTTCTTGCAGTAATAACTGCTAGGGAACTCCCCTGTGCATTTCCAATTCACTGGTCTCTATAGGAGAAGACATGCAATGTGACAGTTCCAGTCCGTAATTTCTTAAAAAGTATGCTATTCTGATTCCATCAGCATAAAATCATTGCTTCAGACACCTTGCATATTGATAGTTCACAGACTGTTGCAACACAAAGCAACATATTGTACAGGAAGTTCTAATAGCGCTGAATGTAATGCAATTACTGCCTGAAAGTAAACGCCCTGCCTACTCGGGGTAAGTATGACGGTAATTTGGGAGCTGATACTGTCACTCTCTTTGGGAAGTCATACTGTAGCAGTAGGAGGCAAGACTCGGAAGCCGAGTTGTCGTTTTCATTGATCAAAGTGCTGTTTATATATACGCAGTTTATACTCTTTAACGAGTCACTGACCGTGTGATTTCGGCTTACATTAAACGACATGAAATAGAATGTTCAGAGACATAGTATTCTATTGTTAATGCCGTACTGAACTGTGGGAATGTGTGAGAATACAATTCCACTGGAACACATTGTCCGTATCACACCACCACAATACGATCACTTCAGTTTGCTAGTACTGGAGACCCCTCCTCCGGGAAAAACAGGAGTATCAAGGGATACTGACTCGCTGCATCAGTCTCTACACAAGCCGCCAAAATTTTAGGTGCAACTGCTTGTAACACTCAACTGACTGATGAGCGGCTACTAAAAATTCACGAGAAGAAGAGGGAATCTGTGAATGAAGAGACGCCGTATCTCTCACGAGTCATAAACAGGAGGTGATTCATAATTTGTTCCCCCCTTCGCGCGTCTGGCTAGATTTTTCCCCTTCACTTGCCCACCACCATGCTTTGAAACTGGAAGTTTAACTGCATAACTGTTTTCTTAAAATCCATGGGTAGTCAGTTGATAGTTTGAGTGATCTTCAGTGTAATGTGTCTAATCCCACCTTGAGTGCAGACTGAGTTCTATCAGCCAAGTTTACAATGTGGCCACCATACAAGGTGACTGGTCATCACAGTGAAATGTGAATTGCCGTATTAGATGATTGGATCCAGTAGGCAGGAAGCCTTGCTTGACCTAGGTTTCTAGGTAGTAGGCACTCATCATTAAGCAAGGTGTATCTGTAAGCTCTAGGGAATTCAAATCGTTTCTGAGATTCGGACCCGTGTCACCCAGTTCTACAGCCAGAGATGACGTTACCACCGAGTTATTCGGGCTAGCGACTGACCTCCTACACTAAACACATTGCACTAATTACTAACTAGTGCCCACACTAAGTATCCAATACAGTCCTTCAGGAGGTCGATGGAGAACACGAACAGTTCAGTGGTGATGTCTCTGACCACATCATTTGGTGAGGCGGACTCGAATCTCGGAAAGGACATGGGTTCCTTCAAAGTAACAGATACGCCTTTCTGACAGGTGAGTGTCAGCAATCATGAAACCTAGGTCAAGGCCTCCTGTCAATTGTCCCTAACATCCTAATTTGAGTGATCAATTGACAAGTGTTGGTAACTGAAGTATAGACGGAAAGGTACTATTAGTGAACGATTATCGAGTGATAAAGAGTCGAATGAAGTGAAATTGAATGACTGTGTGGTAACTTTGAAAAGAATTACATACACTCTGAATGATAGACATAGTAAGAAGGATGATGAAGTGTTAAAGCGTCTTAAAAAAATATTCATCAACGAACGAACGGAAAATAGGAAGATAATGTTACTCAAAGTGCTAATTTCGTATGATTTTGGTGAATTTGTTGTTCTTATAGTAATCCGTGGTAAACAGGGCGACTGACCATCTATTCTCTATAATCTTCAATAGGTTGTGTTAGCATAAGGAACTCTAGAAACAATAATATTTTATAGATATACATATAATTAATAATACATTGCTATTTTTTGTGTCGAAATGACTTTACTCAGTCAATTACTACCTTTTCTCATTTAATTTTCTAAAATGCATAATTTTATAACATTTCGCAGCACTTTTTCCCATAATACAGGCTGATGGGTAACTTTGCAATGTTCGACACATACCATATGAATATCGGTGATGGAAATTTAGCATGACTAGTAACCAGCTGTTTTCTTCAGGATCCTTCTGCATAATTTTATCACATATTGTTCCACTACCCAGTTAACTCTGCTAAATAGAGTATAACTTAGTTGCTGTAATACTAACCACTTCCATGCTTTATAAATTTTTAAAGGAAACTAAATTTCCTAGTCGTTTGTAACAAATACTTGCATATATGTATGCATATACAAAGGTATCGATGCATCTGGCGACCTATTGGAAGCGCTTGTCACGAAAGCTATTAATGTACGGCATACTGTATGATTGGGACGGGTTCAAAGCAATGCAATACTGCAAATACAGTTATTGCCGAAAATCACAGAGCTTAACATCAAAACAGGAGGGAGGGTGGCGCATGCTGATCAGCAGTATGGTAGTGATCACAAATATGAATCCATCCGATCTGTAGGACAGCAACGTGCATTTTTTTGACATCTCGAGAATAAACATTAGTCTAGATCTTTAACAAAGAGAATAAGGTTGTACAGATCTAAATTATAAAAACTGCTTTTGCCTCTACCATCTGCAAGCCTGTTCAACTTCTTGTCAGGAAGCTAACCCAAGGGCCCTACAGAAATTCGTGAGATATCTTAC